CGAGGAGGGGGGGGGGGGGGGGGTCACATCAGCCAGTTGACAATAATGATACGTTAGGAAGCATTTTCCGAGGCATACAACATTCGACTTGTCAATTTGAGAGGACTCATAGGACACTGTATACAATGCATCCGTAATGTCAAACCATTTTTATTTTTATTTTTTATTTTTTATAAAGAAATGCATGGCTTATCCCGCGGCGCCGTATGTTTCACCGTCCACTTTCGAACGGTCCAAATAGGCCTGCTAAATACAAAATATAATTTAATAAAGATGAAAAAAACATTGATTAGTAGATGATTTTATTTTAGCGATAGGCATGGTTTAGAAATAATGGAGAAAATAATTATTTAGAGAAAGAAGTAGCGTAGCGTAGACGGCTTCGAGAAGATACCTCATGATGACCCCTAGAGAGAGAAAGCGAGGCCTTAAAAAGACCGTTTGGGTAACGCGTAAAGATAGACGGAGGCGTTTGCGTTTGGTTGAAAAGAAAGAGTATTAAGAAAAATAGAAAAAAGCAAAAGCCAGAAAATTTTTTAGAGAGAGAAGCGTATCTGGAATTTTCTTCAGATCGTGTAACGTGTTCGCCTCCAGGTTCTTTTCTTTCCGACTTCCCATACTTTCTAGATTCCTTCCTTTCTTTCCCTTTCCTCCTTTTATTTCTCTCTCTCCATTTTCCAATTCCATAATCTCTCTCTCTCTCTCTCTCTGCGTCTCTCTTAGGCTTTCCAATTTTTCAAACCGATCTGGTTACACCTTGCCACACCAAAAATGGCGGAAGAACACCGATGCCAGGCACCGCGCTTCTGCGCCAACAATTGCGGCTTCTTTGGCAGCCCCGCCACGCAGAATCTTTGTTCCAAGTGTTACCGCGATTTGCAGCTCAAGGACCAGCAATCTTCCTCCGCCAAGATGGTGCTCAATCACTCGCTCGTTCCGCCGCCGCAGCCCTTGGTGTCTCAGCCGGCGTCGTCTTCTTCGGCGCCGCCGGATCCGGTGGCGGTGGAGGCTCCGCGCGCGGCGGAGGAGGCGAAGGTCTCGCAGCCGAACCGGTGCGCGACGTGCAGGCGGCGCGTGGGACTGACGGGATTCAAGTGCCGGTGCGGGATGATGCTGTGTGGGACCCACCGCTACCCGGAGCAGCACGCGTGCGAGTTCGACTTCAAGGGCTTGGGGAGAGAGCAGATCGCGAAGGCGAATCCGGTGGTCAAGGGGGAGAAGCTCGATAAGATCTGAGAGAGAGTGGAAAGGGTGTTATGGTAATTTCATGTTTATCGAGTTGCTGGTTGCTAGGTCCTGATACCGGGCCAAGTCGGGTTATTGGGCCGGAACGGGTTGTTCCGAATTGCGGTGGGTGGGTGGGTGGGTCATTGATATGTGGGTTGCGTTGTTATTGTAAATTAAATTTAAAATCATTTCAATTGTCATTCACCTTCTTTCTGCTTCGATCAAACTTGGAACCCTTTTCTAATTCTTTTCTTGCACTTAATCAATTGAATTAATTCTTTTGCACAATATCTATTGATCATAATAACAAAAGGTTTTTTATTTTTTGCAATACCTTGGGCCGGTGGCTTTGCGGTCACGTTAGGAAAGTGAAAAGCAGTTCAAAAGTAGGTAAAGGGCACCAGAATTTATATTATATTTCGAAACAATTCAATAATTTTTGCATAGTGCAAATGATAATCATAAGAATATTTTTTTTTTGCGATAGCGGTGGCCGGTGGCTTTTCTGTCGTGAAGCAATTCAAAAGTAGGTAGGGTTCACCAAGAACTATACTTTGATAGATAAAATTTTCGTATCCGATAATAATGGAAATGATTAAATGATATTAAATCTTTTTTTCTTCTTCTATAAATTGCATGTATGCCTTCCAAGAATATTCTCAATGATTATTTTTTTTTTCAAACAAATTATTTACTAAAGTATTAGAATATAATACCGATTTTAATTATTAAGTATATTAATATTCATTCATTTTTCGAATACAGTTGAAGAAAATTACCTTATTGGCCATACTATCTTCAAGATCTTAACTCATGACCCATTTTCTCATATTATAAATGTATGAAATATGAATACACTTATTTCATGGATTAAATGATTAAGCATGCCAACAAAGAAAGTAAATTTTTATATTCTGTTCTTGAATTCTATTGAACAATGGAAAATTGTTTCATCGAGTATGATCACTTTGATGGGATATGATAATTGAAGCAGGGGGCATCCACAGGATTAAAAAACAACTTGTAGCCTTGACATCAACATGTAGAAAAAGAGGGTCTCTATATGCTTGCCAAATGCCACGTCCTTCTGTGGCGCAGAACAAAATGACCACTATCCGTCATTGTTCTTTAGTTTCAGAAGTTTTCAATCACAAGTTAAAAGGAATGCTTTTTCTTAACTATTTTGGGACAACATTTGTCTTTTCTGACTTTTACAAAAACATTTTTGCGGTCGATAATCAAAAGGATAAAAATTAAATAAAAACTAAAATTTAGATTGTATGATGTTAAATATGATATTCAAAATTTAGTATTCAAATAATATTTTTCTATAAAATTTCACCTTCTTATAAAATTACATATTTTTTTATGTTATTCTTAAGACTTGGAGCATTTTTTTTTTAAATTACCAAATACTCAATTATTATTTTGGTTTAGAAAAAAAACAATTGACAGTAATAATTCAATATATACAATGTTCTTCACTATCTCAACAAGAATTGATCAATTCTCAAGTATGAATATTCCAGAGATGAGGGTTTTTCCGTCTTTTTCTCTCCATGAGTCATTTATGAGGACTTTGACATTCAACAAGTAAAAATAGGAGTCCAGAGATGAAAAAATTCAGAGAAGATTGTATATCTCTTTCACAAATGGCCTTCTTGTTTATATACAAAATCTTCCTGAGGTACTATATTCATATGATAATAGAACGATACGAGATAATTTATTGTAATTCTTGCATGTTATTTGATATTTTTGGAAGAATGTTATTGTGTAACACGAGTGCGTGATGTAACTTATCACTTATGAGTGCCTTTTGCCTGACACGATCGAGTCTTGAGAACTATTGGTTCATTTCTTAATGGACCAGTATTGATTTCAAAATAGCTAAGTCATAAATTGGCCTATGGCAAACGGTACAACAATGTTCACAATTTTTTCCCCAAATAATTTATTATTATGTTTGACTAGGATTTCATCTCATTTATAACTTATTGTTTTGATTAACTTATAAATCTTATTTAACTAAAATAAAATTGTTTGATACTCAAATTTATTTCATAAACCTATATCTCTTTTTTATGTGTTGTTTAATCCAAGTTTATAGTTTATAACAGTTTTTTTTAATATTTTAATAAAATTTCTCCTATCCCCCATTGAAAGAATCTTAAATTCTTTAATAATCATTATAAAGTTTCTCCTCTAAAATGAATATCAGAAATAAAAAATAATCATATCAAATTTTGAATGGATAAAAATAATTTTTTACACATTGATTAAAACTAAAATTTACTCATTTCACATAAAATAAAAATAATGATTTAAAATTTTATAAAAATAACAAATTTCTTTCACCGAAACCAAGATCTTTATAATTACTTAAAAGACATTTAAACTTTATAAACATTGCTAATTTAATTCTTAATAAGTTTAAGACAGCACCAACAAATGACAGTGACTTTGCCTTAATCAAGTTATTAGAATTCGAATATTAATTTTGTATATAGAATAGACTATATTACATGAAGAATACTAAGATTATATATAATTAGAGTTTGAGGTAAGTGTTATAGAGAGGAAATTAAATTGTAGCAAACAAAGGGGTCAGATTCATCTGTTTTCTTAATTTTCTAGTTGCCGTGTTGGTCCCCACCCTCAACCATTCATCCATCTGGTATCCTGTCTATCACGGAAAGCATGCAAGTGCAATAATTAATGATAGTATTTGTTATAAACATCAAGTGTAGTGTTCATAGATACATACATTTCCATTCTCAATTGGCTGCTCAGAAAGAAAGACATGGAATCACTAACATTAGCAGTGTAGTTTAGGATTTATGGAAATCACTCTCGGAATCTAATAAACTTAAATTCAAAATATCAAAAAAGTTATGTCAATAATAATTTATCTCAATAAAAATTAGTCTAATTGATAAGAACGAAATTATATTTTAAATACTTATAAAACTTTGATATATTTAATTAGTCCTTCAGACTGAATTCACATGAATTTTTAAGGAAAAAAAAAATCATGTCAACGAGGGAGCTTGAAGCTCCCAACTTCCTGAACTGCCACGTTCATGGTGTTCTCCGGCTGGTCCCCATAATCATAAATTATTGCCAACTCTGAGCACTGGAAGTAACAGATTTAGGAAGTCATGAAATATACAATTGATCTAATTAGTATTGGTTGGTACGTAGTAGTTTTTGTTACATCTGGCATCTGCTACTGGGTGTAGTCACGTGTCTAAGTCCAACTAGGTATAATTCTATACACACAGGTGAAGGTATCATTCTTGTTGTTTTGCTTCCCGTCATTAACTACTTATTCTTTTCTTACATCCTTTCTCTGTCTTTCAATTCGTAGAGGGATCCGTTTATTTTAGGGATAAGTCTATTTAGATTTACTTCATTCAATAACTTATATTGTATATCAAATTTCAATGATTTAACCGTTGAATTTAAAATTCTTAATGCATAGATTAAATATGCAAAATTTTTTTGATGGGTTCGGACGGGTCTTATGGATAAATCGGGTTAAAATTTTGATTTTATACGGGTTATATTGGGCGGATTTGGTTTTGAATTTTTAAACTCGCTAAAAACTAAACTCAACCGAAAATGAGATAAGTTTAAATTTTTATTACTTTTGTATAACTAAACAACAATGGTCCAAACTTAAAATTATAAAAAAAATATGTATATATTTTTTCTTATAATAAAAAATAAAGGGAGTATGAATTAAACATTTTCCTTGGGAACTGCAAAACACTTTGTAAACCACAAAACCTGATTGTATTTTTTTTTTTTTTTTTCTAACACGGTTGGGGTTTCGTAGAAAAAAGAAAATTCCGTCCAGTTGTGTTAGGACTTAGAAGAGCATGTTTTTAAGTGTCTTTGTTTTTTAATTCCACATTCTAATACATAATCAACAAAAATGTATATTTTCATATGTAATTCGAATATAATTTTTTATATTTATTTTTTTTTACCTTTTTTTTTTTATACTCATTTTCTATCTATTTCCTTCCCTGTTTGCATTACAGTTCCAATCACATTTATCATTTTTTTTCATCTCTTTTTTTAGAGTGCATGCATTCAAACTTCAAAGAGATTGTCAAATCATTTAATTTAGCCATGAATTAGTCTAGGACTGCCAATGGCTGTCATTCTTTAACATATCCTTTTATATAATAGAATCATATTCACTCTCACGGGTATATATATAAATCTCCCTAACATGACATCTATTAAATTTGTTGTCATATCAAATCTAGTATAATCATATATTATAAAAATGATAGATTGCTACTTAGGTGATCAAACTAAATATCATTTGCTTATAAAGTTGATGATCTGAATTGGAGACCAGGGCAATCCCATCAGAAAAACATAAAGTGAGAAGGAGGAAAAAACGTAGAAAAGGTATTGGAATTATCCAAGTGGGTACAAACTAAACTCAAATCAATTAGCAGGAGAGCAGTCCAAAGGTCAACTAACTAAGTCACTTCCTAGATGAAAGAAAAGTTACTCTAAACACATGAATCAATTCAGACAGAATTATTGCTGTTTAATTAATAGTTTTTAATTTGAATATTAAATATACAACTATATAAAATACTCAAAAGATAAAATAAAATTATTGACTATAATAATATATTAAATTTGAATAGAATTATCTTCTCAAATAGAGAACATAGTTTATGTAAAAATATGAATGGATGGAAAGTTGAAGTAAACACCAAATCTCATTAAAACATCTAAACATAGCAAATCCCATAATTGATACCAGTACTACTAAGATGTTGTTAGTCACAATGGATGCTGAAAAGCATCTGATTACAATTAGTAAAAAGATAGGTGGGGAAGTGAGAATCCATTTTTTGTGGCTTCCGGAGAAGAAGAATAACATAATTCTTTACTTGAGAATATTTATTCTAAGTTAAGATTCTCATATATATTCTCATTCCAAAGAATCTTTGAAACTTTCCTTTTCCTTGCTTTATTTTTTTTCCCTTTTCCCCGCGAGGAATAGCATTCTGTGGTCATTTCTCACTTTTTCAATTCAGCCAATGCCATCATGTGTGCCCTCTCAACCAAATCACAGCCAATAACTCTCAACAAATGGTTTTGCTCATGATT